AGCCAGGAGGGAAGAGCTGTTGCTGCTGGCTCTGTCTCCTCATGTCCTGCTTTCTGACACCTCCCGGTCAGCACAAGACAGGTCGGAGAACATCCTTAGTTTACAACCTGCCACGGACACGGTGATGGTGATGATTTCTTAAGCTAGAAGAGGAACTCCTACTTATGCAGTGATGGCAGTGAGCCTGTTGGGTCCTCCTGTCAACTTAAAAATTGCAAAAAATATTCTATTTCTTATTTCTGTTCTACAGTTCCATTACAATGGACATGTGAAGCCAGATACAGCTCGTTGCATCAGTACGTGGTACGGTATTATTGGATACTCATGGACTGATCTAGACGGTCTCTAAGACATCACTAAGCTGTTTCTTGGCATCAATGTAACTATTAACTTTCATATTCGCTGGGGTGAAAGTGTATATATGTACTTGTTTAAAAGCAGAGTGCTGTGATACCTCAATAAAAAGTCGAAAGAATTTTCAATTCAGAAGTGGATGTTTTCACACTAACTGTATACGTATGTTTAATAACTGTGTTAAAAGCCTTTAACCCAGAATTGTTTGTTCCAATTGTTCCAACACCCGTTGGAATTTTTCACATAGGCATGTTTAATGATAATAAACTGATAGAAAATGTGAGTTTCATACACATTTTTTTTATATTCCAGTCCAGAGAATTTTTTCCCACTTTTTTTCCATGCAATTGCAGTAAAAATGGGACATTACTTTATTTTGAATGAGATATACCTAAGAACAAATTCAGCAGTGTACTGTAGACTGTTTAAAATGATAAAACTGAAAAACCCAGAACAACATATGAGCTATGTATGCAAAATATTCTAACTTTGTGTTAACATAAGAATTATAAGAATAGCTCATCATTTATAAAACCAGACATTCTGAAAAAGAATCATCTGTATAGGCAATCTTAGAGGAAAACCTGCTTCTGTCTGCTAAAGATGTGGGACTGGGATGAGAGTTCGGCTCTCAGTGGGACAAAGGCCTATAACCAAAGCTACACTGAAGTGGCCTAATATGAAGAAAGCAAAAATCCTTAAGTGGAACAGGAAAATTTCTGCCCATCAGCGATTCCCAGCCAGCCAGCCTGCCAGAGCTTGAGCAAGTTTGCAAAGAAAAACGGGGGATTTATCCGTAAGAATTTGGCAGCTTTAATTACTGCCAAAGGTGCTTCCACCAGGTATTGACGCAGGGTGTGAGTACTTCTGCAATCGGCATACTTTAGTTTTGATTACTTTTGCGTTTTTTTTCCCTGGAATTTAACTTCTTTCATCCGTGAAGATGTTCAGTTTGCACATTCAAGTTTCATTCAATTTGAAAAAAAAATGTCTCAACTTTTTTGGTTTCTTTAATCCATGGGACAGATCTGGAAGACTGAATTCTGTTGCAAAGTACGGTTTGCCCTGGAATTTCCCTATATGCAAGATCCATTATACTTGATTTTTTTTCAACTCAGGATCAGTTTGAATGGGCAGGAAATGAACTCTCCAGGTGTCAAATTTAGTGTTCATCAAAAGATATAGATGCTATTATAGCATTCTGGATTTAGTGTGGAAGAATTGTTTAAAAAAAATGTGTAATAGGACTATTCAGTTGTGATTCTCTTAACAGCGTTCAATTAAGAATGTGGTGTATTATTTGGTGCAAATGGGTCCAGGAAAATAAGATTTCTTACTGAAATAACTGATCGCTGTGTTGCGTTCCTTTGGATTAGGTTGGAAAGGGTGAGGCGGGCAGAAGACTGTGTTGGAAAGAGAGTCACAGAGGAGAGCGTGTGAACTGAATCAGCATAGTTCCTCCATCCCAAGTGTTACCTTTAGCACTTTATAAAAAAAACCATGTGTGGCAAGTCTAACATAGTCATTAATAAAGTCAACAGAAAAGTGCAGCTGTAAACACATTTCTCGTCCCTTCCATCTGCTCAGCTGTTAGAAAAGACACCGAAGGTGTGAATATTCCCTGAGGTGTGACGGATTCTTCCATCTTTGAAGAAACACTTCGACCATGCCATGATGGCTTGTGTGCTGGGAAACAGTGAAAGAACTGCCAGGGGTTTCAGAAGCTGGTCATCTGTGGTTCTGTATCAAGTCTGAGCCATTAAGCCATTAATCTAATCACGAATCTAGTGAAAGAAGTTATTGGTCCATATGGCGTTGTTTTGGGATGGTACATTGTTTAGCAGGGACTGCAATTCTTTACGGAACCGCCAGGTGGTTCCCTACACTGCACAAATATGTAGACTCACAAATTTGGTTACTTACGGAACATATATTTACCACAAAAGGGCATGCCGTGAAATCACTTATGTAATAATTTATTTCCATGTCGTTAGTAATCATAAACGGAAGCCTTTCAGCTGCTCATCCATGAAAGTATTTCGGAATGCAACTTTAATGCGTCGTAAAATGCGTTTAATAAATTGTAACTGTTAACAAAATATGAACTTGCTAGATGTTTTATGTATGATTGCAAATAAATGTGTTTTCCTTGTCGTAGCGTTTCTTTACCAGTGGTAAAGGCGAAGTCGGAAAACAAAAACACTGAGAAAAAGATCTCCTTCATTCGCAGGAGGAGGGTAATTCGTGAATCAATAGATATGTAATTAACTCCCTCCAGGGAACTGTCCACAGACCTAAATACTACGTTTTATAGAACTCCCTTAAAACTAATATCATTTTCAGTCATGCTGTTTTCATTTAATCTTTAATTATTTCGTATATGCATTTTAGTTTTAAGTGGCACGACATTATGTAAATCATTTCTGCCCTTCATTATGTTTAAAATGAACCTGAAACTTGCTGAACATTGGATTTTGGAGCTTAGGCAACTACATCTGCGTTAACGGGAAGAAAAGGCAAACTCTTAACTAATTCGGTCGGTCGTGCCAGCGTGCCTACTAACGTGTGCCAGTAACTGTGTTTATAAACAAACATCGCTTCTGGGAATTAAGCCAACGTGCAACCTCTGAACGTTAGATGGTACTGGATAATGTTCCTTCAGTACCTTCGGTACCAGTTCCTCTGAAGGCAGTGTACGGCGGCAGTCCCGACCTCCACCTCCTGAGAGCCCAGTCACCGCCCCCCACCGGGACTGGAGAGCATTTAAAGGAGTGTGGCGCACATCAGTTGTGGGATTTAGCAGGTCTACAGCAGTGGGCATCAGAAGAACTGATCAGAAGTAGTTATCCAGGATAACTCATTTCCTGCATTGGATATATCCAAAGGATAACACATTCGGATAATGAAATCTCCCAAAATGAAATCGCAGAGCAAATGTAAGTTTTATGAATTGACGTTAATGTACGCGTTTTCAGTCGACAATGTAGACAAGTTTTGGATGGAAACCTAAAGTGTTTAGTGCGTTGTTCTTGAAGGGGATATCGTTTATTTTATTACGGGATTCATAACTGCAAGTCTTTTTGTTTGGGTGGCTCGGTTCTGGAGAGCTTGTAAAATTATTTAAATCTCACCTTTTGATTTTAGCTTAAACTAAAAATGCTGTGAAGCTTTTGGATGGTTTATGGTGTGTGAAGGTAGGAATTAAATGATGAAAAGTTCAAGCTGATTTTCAGGCAAACTTGGACCCTATTACGTACTTTAATGTAGATCGTTAGATGTTTTTGAAAGCATATGAAGCTTTAACTGCCTGGGAAGTCACAAATCATGTCACTATATTTGCAGTGCTTCGTCTGCTCTTGTGAAAAACGATGATCAATAACCACATGCGACTATTCTTTTTCCTAGCGCATTTTCTTGAAGATGATGATGATCTTAATGCAGTTCTCTGTGAATTTGACGCTGTTATTGAAGATTTTTCGTCTCCTATGGGCAAGAGGCACTTTAGATACGATGAGCATTTAAAAACCATGAAGAGGAGGAGTAGCGCCAGCGTCAGCGATAGTGGCATCAGTGATTCAGAAAGTAAGTTTGGATCTTGTTTCATATTTTGTGTAAAAGATGAGTGGGTTTGTACTGTAATGCCTAATGATGCCATTTTACATAACGGCATTCAAATAATCCAACTGTTATTATAACTACACTGGGACATTTGAAGTCATCTGTCAAAAGGACTAAGTTGTTAGTTGCATTTAGCAAACCACTAGATATCGATGATTACCGCACTATAAAATAACTGTGGTTAATATCAAATTTCACATGCGTAAACAGTTTCGTAATCGGGAAAAACAGTGGCGTCTGATACACGTGCCGATGCACGATATCGGTGGAAAGACGAAATAATTACACAAGAAAAAATAATTACAAGAAACCTAAAGTATACCTCCCTCAACACAAAGTATTACAACCACCCATAAAGCATTATTTTAATATACGCGTTTAAAGAAGGTCGATACTCTTCTGCGTGAACACCTGCTGACACACTATCTGCGCGTCTATTTGTTCTGGGATAGCATGCGATAAACCTCCAAGTGAAAGCACTCAAGTCACTAATACGTCTTGAGTATTAGTGTATATTAAATCTATTAAATTCCGTTCTTGACAAAATGCTAAGACTACATCATGAACCGCTTTGCATTGTAATATAGCAGACCACATATAAGATACATGTTACGCTTTGTTACAAACATGTACACACCCATTTGTGCTTCAGTTCAAACACTTATCCAACCACACCGCCACCCATAGGAATAGATTAATTTTAGACGAACTTTTTTTTCTTAGCGTAGCTGTAAATATCTCATTCATTCTGTTGCTCGTAACGTCCATACTGTCGCATATTGTGGAATACAAGAGTAGCTTTATCCTTTGCAGCAGAAGACCATTGTCTACAAAAAATGAGGATATTTTTGTTGCAGAGTTATGCAGGCAAATTAGTGCAATTAATAACTCTTCAAAGTTTACATGCAGAGTAAAACCAAGTAGAATGATAACACTCGGCACAATTGTGCCCCTATTGACAGAGTCTGTTTAATTTGACGTAGAACGTGTTCGCGTTATTCCATTAAATGTGTCAGTAATAAGCAATTTAATAAAAAAAAACTTTGATTCCCCTTCATTTGCAGGATTAAGAGCCTATTCGAAATGTTTTGCTTAGAAGGTATAAGTGCTATATTGTTTACAACTATATAGGACCATGTGATTATTTAAATGTAGTTACAAATTCTTGTCCTCGCTTTGAGATGCGGGTGTGCAGTTGAAAATGTACCTAGAAATTCTGCTGCTGAACAGTAGCAAAGATAGCATGTAAATCATCATCTTTAGAGAAGGCTGGCAAAACCAACCCCTTTGGGAAGACAGGGCAGGGGATTTGTTTCAGTTTTGTTTTGAATGTTGTCTTTCCAAAGGCTTCAACAGATAATCTTTTAGCGACGATGGGCAGTCCATCTCGCTATCAAAACTGAGCTCACGCTGCCATGTATCTGAGTGAGTTCACATGACAGAGCACTCATTGAAACTGGGAAGACGCTGAGCGGTCACTTCCAGTGTTAGCCACTGTCAGGTGCACAGACAGCCCTTATGCAGAGCCTTCTAACTGCTGGATTAACAGAAGGGATCCTTCGCAGTTTGAGGTGATAGCAGAAATACTTGCAGTAAAATCAGGATTTGTGCAGATACATCCTGAGGCAATGAACTATTATTCATATTATGCAGCCAGGAGTAACAATATAAGAAGAAATGAATGGACTGAGCCGACAGAGTACAATATCCCCAACTGTAAACAGCATTTCTGTCACACTTGTGCACAAGCTTGTGCAAAGAGAGGGATTTTGAAGAAGCTTTCAGGAATTTTCTTTAGAAATGCTATTGGCATAAATGGACTCATTCGTTGCTCTCCGTGGTGTTATGGGAAAACACATTAAACTAGTCCCAGAAGCTAAGATCTAATTACAAGCTCTTTTCTGTTCCCTGCATACATTTCTCTACACATCTACACAGTGCACACAGATGACAAGGAGCTACAAGCAGGCATCCTGTGAAATTAAAAGAAGGAGCTCAGAAATGAGCTGGATAAGGGTCCTATCCAGAACCTGACTGATGTCAGCCTTTAATAACTGCCCACCAAAAACTCAGCCCAGCAGACTTATAAACCAGCAGTGAAACTCAAGCTGGAGGACACAAGTGGGAAAATATGTGTCTTTAAAAAAACATAAGAGCAAACAGCAACTGTCTTTACCCAAAGGGTGGTGGGAGTATGGACAGACTACCCAGCCGGAAATGTCTAAGCTGATGCCCTGGCACCTTTAAAAAAGTGGCTTGATGAGTCTCTTTGATCAATTCATTACTAACTACCAAATGAACTAACTGTAAGGGTCTACTCTGATTTAAAATGGTTATGTTCCTAAATAGATGCAAGGTTCGTGTTTGGAGCTGTGTCAGTGTGTTTGTTGCAAAGGAAGAAATCCTACACCTGAACAAGGCTCAAAACATTGTTTTTCCTTTCTCTCTGCTTTTCATTGTGGAATCAGACTTAACTTGACGGATTCCTAAATGGATTCAAGCTCATGATCATGAGAGGAATCTATTCATCTCAGCCCATTTGGTTGCCATTAACTCATTGATTTAAGGATCTTACCCGGCAGTTTTCTTAAAACTTTAAACTTAAAGTTTCTTAAAACCTTGTCAATGTGTTTGTGGGTTTTAAATACTTGAATCCGGCTCCTTTAAGTATTGAACTGGTTACAGAGATGCAATATCATTTTCATAAAGTGGAGCCATGAGTTTTTACGTATGCACTGTACAGTGTCAAAACAACATTCTTTGGTTCAGATTTTTCACTTTTTTAAATATCCTTACATTAACGTAACTAGATTCCCTTGAGGTCACAGTGTTTTTTTAAAATAACTTCCTGAAACAATCTTCCACTTATGCTTTTGCTACCAGATTGAACCACTGTGCATTTGTCTACATTAAATGTGATCTGTCTTAAATTTTGTTTAAATCTTTTTTAATTTATTTGCCTGCCTTTGCTAATGCCCCCTTTTAACATAATGTGCAAACCTGACAAATCTATGTCAATGATCTAGATTTTATCATGTTAATTATGAAGAGCAGTAGTTCTAATAATGATCCTTGTAGTACTCAAATAATGACATCAACTTAATTTGTACATTTCTTTATTAGTCGTACTGTTTTCTGTTCATTATTCTGTTGTATATTCAACATTTCAAAATGTCTCCTTAGAGTTTATAATTTATCGTCTATGGGGAACATTATCAAAAGCCTTCTGAAAATCTGAATATATCTGATCATTTCACATATATCAGTTTGTATCCATCACTGCTGTTGATGGTTAGAAGCTAATGCTAATTAATCAAGGCCTGCCTTTCAATTCTTAATTGTATGGTTTCTTGCCTTTTTTTGTGGATGAGCACTACATTAACAATTTTTGAGTCAGTGGTTGTTCTATAAATAAGGCAATGTCTGGGAATAATAGAATTGTACTGCATTGATTTGGCACTTTGTGCCCATTTTTTCAGATATTTTATTGATGCTTTAAAACCCATTTTGGCTGGCATTTAACATTGTCTGCAAATTATTAAGTTGTAGAATTTGTCAGAAAATATAATAATAAACTTATTTTATATAGCGCCTTTAAAGGTGGCTTCTCAAAGCACTTTACAGGATGATAATAACAATAAATAAGAAGACTACAACAATAAATAAGAAGAATACACAAGATAAGACACAATTACAATTACAGCAATACAACAATAACAATAGAGGAGACCGTGGAAGGTGGTAAAGAGCAGAGGGGTGAAGAATGGAACCAGTTAAGTAAAGGCTTTTCTGAAGAAGAAGGTTTTGAGTCTGGATTTGAAGGAGTTTAGAGAAGGCGACTCACTGATATCATTGGGCAAAGAGTTCCAGAGCTTGGGGGCATAGCAGGAGAAGGCCTGTCGCCCATACAATGTAGACGGGCTTGGGGGACAGTAAGGAGGGCAGAATTTGAAGAACGGAGGTTGCGAGGTGGGGAGTTGGGCGATAATAGTTCAGACAGGTATTGAGCTGCCAAGCCATGTAGAGCCTTATAGGTGATTGAAATATGATTGACTTCCTTTGGAAGAAGTCTTACTTTCATGATAAGGCTACAAAGGATTTTACCATCCCTATATTATATACATCCCTTTATGAAATGGGAATTATTTCACTTTCAATACCATGGTAATCGATATTTGGAAGATTGCTTTACCTACCTGATCTGGCATTCCTGTTTTAGTCAGGATTTCACATGTAAAGCAAACAATCCAAATTCCATTAAACCTATAATCATGTGAAGAGATTATCATTTAAAGAACATGGAGAACCGAGACGAACAGAAAGACAAATTAGTCGTCTGACAAGGCTGCATGTCTTAAAACTTGTGAAAGCCAAACAGGAGACAAAAGCCCAGAGTGTACACCAAAGAAGAGTAGATGGAACTGTACAGAACATGGCTCTGCGAGACTGTAGCTTTAAATCAACACTGTAAAATGATCCAATGATTTGGAGCTCAAACTTAAAAAGGTACAGTGTGCACAAGAGAACATATGAGCATGAGAAAAAAAGAAAAGTGAACATGTCATTATGAGATGACGCTCAACATACCTGTACTATTGACACATTAGAAGCTAGCTGGCTGAATATGGATATGAATTCCAAACACGTTTACAGGGATCCATGCCCAGCATGTGAGGCTGTCGGAATCCAGTGCCTCTTCCTGATGTGTCCTCCCCATGCGAGAGATGTTAGCGTCTTTTGTGGGAATCTCAGTGACAGGCACAGAGATCCCTGCGCCCTGTAATTGCACTCTCAGCAAATTACACCTTCTGCTTGACTTGGTGGGCAGAGAAAAAAAAGTTAAATTACTATTGTTGTCTTTCCAACAGGTGCCGATTCCCTGCACAGAAACAGCTTCAGCTTCAGCGATGAAAAGCTCAACTCGCCAACAGTGTTTTCACCCTCCTCACCCACTCCAACAGTGACGACACGCAGAGGTACTGCCACATTCTCCAATTGGGCCATCCCACAGTTCTTTTTGAATGAAACAGGAAAATAGTGTAGGCGTAGGGAGAGGAATTGTAAAATCAGACTGTACTTCTGTATCCTCGATCACCTGCATTTGAAACCTTGAGAACAGTCTACTTATGTCCACTGTTATACTACTGTAAATGAACCCGCTAAAGTTCATGACATCCTACCTGGAGAAGAAGCAAACTGCTTGGACTTGGGCCCACAGAGGTTCAATATTTTTCCTTTGGGAGTTTTTGTTTTTCTTTCCTCTGTGTATAGTGGTTGTTCTGAGTTGTCGGATATACTTGCACAGATTTCCAGTTAGTGAAGGCGTTCTATGGCTAGTGGTTATGATGACAGATACTAAACACCAAATGTAGTATATACACAGATAGACTGTTCTTGTGAAGTTTTGTGTTCAAATGTCAAAGACTCCCACATAAATAGTGATTTGTGCTTTTTACCTATGGGTAATATCTGTAACTATTAGTTGTCTGTTTCACTCACTCTGGAGTTCTAAAATTAAGAATACAAAAGTAATTTTGATTTCATGCTTAACTTTTTTGTTTAACAAATGCTACTGGAGTGGAATGTAACTTTTTTTAATGCATTTTCAGCAAAACTTGGTGACACAAAGGAATTAGAAGATTTTATTGCGGATCTGGACAGGACTTTAGCAAGTAAGTACTAAGCACTATTTTTTCCTGTTCTCAAGGAATAACTTATTCTCAGATTTGTACTAAAGCCGTACTTGTCGTACTTTTGCTGCAGATTTACAAAGCAGAGAGAGAACAGGCAGGTGTGAAATCAGCCGGTTAAAATATGTGAATTCATTTAGTTTAACACGGTAGTTCTCATTTCTGGTCCTGATAGATCCATTTTGTCTACTGGTTTTCATTCCGGCTGGGCCCTTAAAGATGCTAATTCTTGCTCGTAATTGATCAGTTTGCTTTTTTAGGCTTTTTTTTTCTGAACTCAAGTCTTAAAAAATATCCTAGCTAAGGTACATTATTTCCGACAAGGGCCAGCAGGACTTTCCCTTTCAGTCTTCCTGAACACTCACACCGAACAGCTGAAGGCCATTTTCACTCTGCTGTTTACGGGCCCTGTCAATGAGAAATAAATAAAATTAAATCCACCGCTAATTATAGCGTTAACACCACTGGAGCCTGAGGACATACTGATCGTGTTGTGCTTCTCATGTTTGCAGATATGTGACGGGGAGGAAAGGCTGTTGGCACAGGCTGTCGAACTAAACAGAGAATCACAGGCATGAAGAAGAATGAGCTGTGAGCGCCAGACAGACGCTTTGGCTTCGGAAACACAGACCTTGCTCTGCATCCTGTACACTCTTAGAGCTGTTCTGCATTTGTAAAAACCCGTTAGTGTTCCTTTGAATGAGATGGACTATAAAAGAAAACATTACAGGCAACACAACTGGCAGCTTGATGTGTGCTTCTGTGCTGCATTTTCATACAAAACTTGAGCTGGAATATAATTTAATTAGCTTTTTATAGAAATGTATTTGTAATGTTATAGAGCCGGTTGTTGTAAATTTATTAATACTGTGCTGTGAAATATATTTTTGTATCCTAAATAAATATTGACTCAGATTCTATTGCTTTGATATATGAAGCTTTATTTTCTTTTTTAATTTAATTTAATTTTTTTTTTGCTGTGATGGAGCTTTTAAGTCTTGTGAACTGAGGATCTTAATTCACAAGTAGAATTGAGAAACAAATGTTGTGAAAATATCAGTAATTTATAGTTGTTAGATAACAGTTCATTTTAAACAAAACTGAAATTTTGTGAAATCATGCCAGTGTTTACTTAAGATGCTTTTAAATTCATGACACCTTTAAAATAAGAAAGGAAATAACCTTTGTGGATCGACATGCACTGATGCTGTATAGTAAAAGAAACTTGTTTTAATTTGCGTACATTCACTGTATATGCCCTTATATACATGTACACATTACATACCTATAAGTACTAGAAAGACCCTAACTTTTTTTTAGAAACAGCCATTACAGCTCTAAAAGATCAATAGAAAATGTACATGGTCAGACACAAAAAAACAAATTCCTACTGCATTATGTAGTTGGAAGATAGTCTAAAGCCTAGTAGTCAGCCAGCTGAAGGAAAGCCAATTTATTCAAATTTAGGATGGATGAAATTGAGAAAAGCAAACATTTAATCTTGTGACCTTCCATGCCACAGAAAATCCCATGGTGACACGGGTGGGTTAATCTTTCTCATGCAAACTATTTTATGGAAAGTGTCATTGATACTTCTACTGTGAACTGGCTCTTAAAGGCTTGTAATATGAGTAACTTAATAGTTCTTGTTTGTCGATTAATAAAATGTCATTTGAAAAAAACTTATTTTATCTCCTTTCGTATATCTGCCCCTAAAGTTCATAATTGCCTTGCTTTAGAGACCTCCCTGAAACAGCAGCTGGTAGGTAGGGCTATAGCAGGGCAGCTGCAGTGTCCCCAGTCCTCACCTGTCAGTTCCTGCTCAGTAACCCAGTACACGATGCCTAGGGCCCGGAGGCTGCTGTCCTCCCTATTAAGAAACAGTTTTCTTATCCACAGGGTCCCTTCAGTCCCAGCTCAAAAAAGGTTAATCGGTTTGCATGTGAAATACAGGCGTTTTGGACATTAGGTGTTATTACCAAATATTTTTTTTCACAAATATCAGCATTTAAAAAACAGCTCTTAGCTTCAAGCAGACGTCCCAATTTTAACAGGAGGATTGTGAACAGGGAAAAATAAAAAAGGCTTACGTCATATCAAAGGGAGAATTAATGAGATCAGCCAGGGTACTTGATCTGGATTCCACATCACTTTGCTTAAAAGGTTTCCTCAAAATGTCAAGTTCAGAAACATGTAATAAAAGAAGAAAGTGCAGAACGTTTTGAAATCAGAGATTATCCAGAAATAATCATATTCTTTGGCAAAAATGGAAATATGATTACAGAACGCTATAAGTAATTTCAAATTGATTTTAAAAAGCCATTTTTTGAGTATGGGATTTTCTTTTTTGTCGACCTATGAAAAATACTTTTAGAGCGATCTCTACATTTCAGCAGAAGAGGACACTTAAAGGGAAGGTCAAACTCTTAAGGGCTGTTAACCTGCTGAAGAGCTGTGGATGTGAAAGATTTGGCAAAACATTTGTGAGCACTTAAAACCATTTACTGTAAATATTCAGCCAGGTAAGGTGGGTGATCAAGAGCTTGACCCCTTGAGGGTTTTGTCCACAAAGATAAAGACTCCTCTTCATGATAATGTAATGGACTTACAGGAATGAGACACCTCGTCTCATATTTAAATCTAGTGCATAACACTGGCACTGTGACGCTTTTGTGTATGCTATTTAAGGGTACTTCACCTATTACCTGAGTGGAATTTGAAAACAGATCATTAGAAATGCATGTCTGGTCTGCCGAGATCCCTCCAAAGCATTAATATGTTAACATGTTTAGTTGAAAGGGGGAGACACACAATGTAAGTATGTTACATTGTTGTAACTGTTAAAAGTCTGTCTAGTCTCCCCACTGAAAAAAAAGGTCCAATTGATTACATTCCAGGCAACAAAACTGAATAAGAGCAGTTCTGAAACTTATAAATATGTACAGTGTGGAAACTATTACAAATCTCCTTTGGCCTTTTAAGAGCTAGAAGAAAATTTACAATTGTGCCCTGAATAGTAAACTGAAATCAATTGGCCTGTGGTTAAGAAGTTGCCTGGAGCAAAAACCAGGAGAAAACACTGTTAGTCCAGGACAAGGGTCAGAAACCACTGAAATATGGTGTCAATGAGTGGCATTTCAAGTAAGATTTTTGAAATGTTAGAGAACACAATTACAATGGTAGTGACGGTTTCGCTCGTGGCATACATATTTGTGAAAGTGATCATAGACAATACCTTTAACTTAATTGTCTCAGTGGAAAAATGACTATCACCAAGTAAATTAATTAAATAGCTGGGTGACTTGCAGGTTCCCCTCAGAAAAAAATGGACAAAAGGTAGTATAAAATCACTTTTCATTCATATATTATTCCATATTTACACTGCAAGATATCACCTATAGAGATCTGATTAATTTTTTAGTTACATTGTTACACAATGCAATAAATCTGAACCAGAAACAGTTCCTCACTGACAGAGAGACCCCAAATTATGCACTTTGTCCTTTTGGTAATGTTGTTTGTACAGGATTCTTACTTGTGTAAGAACATAAGTGGAGTCTCCTTAGAAAAGCAACTGGAGGGTAAAAGAAGCCCGGTTCTTTGCGAAACAGGTGGGCTTGAAGATGTGCTCTATTAAGGACACACAGACGCCTGAGTGGGTTGGCATTTCTTATAGGTCTTGTCAGCTGACTTGGCTATGTCCAGAGGAATGTACTGGCACACAGCGCAGACGTCACGGTGCATTCCACCGGACCAGTTGGAATTGCTGCCATTACGCAAGACACTGTCTGGAATGACTATAGGGAGAGCAAGGAACCAGACTGCACAAGCTTCACACGTCCGGGATGTATGATCCCTCATTATTCCTCTGGTGATCACTATTTTTTTTTTGGAGTCTTCCTTATTCCTATCAGTTTCTCTATTACAGGTTCTCATTCTCATCACTGTCCCATCACTGGAAAAAAACAAAAATAAACGTCTCCACAGCCACATTATCTGTTCCGTTAGCCCGTTTCAATTAGCCTTTATACTTCAGTGTTCATGTAAACTCATTGTAATCCTCCCTGTCTGTGCTGGCTTTTATTTTGGTTGCATTATCTCTTTGGCAGGGGGATTCCTAAGTAAATTTGATATGACACTACACCCACAGGCGTATTTAGACATCTTCACTAAATGGGTCTGTGTACAGAAAAAAAATCTAAAAACCAGCTGAAGTGGTTGGGGCTTTAGAAAGATGCAATCGTTTTGAAGTGTTTGCTACTTTACTATATAATCCTCTAAATGCTGAGGAGCTCTTCAGACTTGTCAAATACGTCACCTTCTCAAATGTTTTCTCTCACTACTTCTTGCTTCTTTTTTCAGAGTAATCCATCTTCTTAAAACGCAGCAGTATTCGTCTTGGTTAAGCTGTTTTGGAGTCTCATTTAGGAGGGGCTGAAGATTAACAGAGAAGAAAGGACCTTACACATGGCCACACAGGCGGTTCGTTTCTGGGCAAGTATTGAAATCAATAGTTTTCTAACACTTAATATATTGGCCAGTGATCCCTGGGACTTTGGGAAAATCACTTCAACATTGTCACAGCTCCTCCTGTCTGAGGAGACGTTACCTTGGTCAGAAAACCTCTAAATCAACATGGCAACACTTCATTTGAAAGGGGTCATATGCAAAACAGCATCACATCTTCATGGAGGCTATTTAACCCTTTTTAACATTTTTTTGCAAAAGCAATTGTGACAATCCTATCGCTAATCTAAACTTTAAGGTTATCTCTAACATAACGTTAAGGCCATCTCTCATTTAAACTCACGATAGTCTCCACTTTGCTTAATAATACATATTGTTGGGATCACTGTGATCCTAACATGGCACACTTTAAAGTATAGTTGGAAACTGTTTAGGTTGAAATCATGTTTACAATTCCCAGTTTACAATTTCCAGAAAGTACATTTTGCAGGAAATTAAATATTTATCCTATCCAGTTTCTCTTCTCTTAAAATGTCAATCAGTGGAAAATGGATGGCAACAGATTCTACTCCAAGTAGCTCCAGCTCCCCCTCAACACTGTATTGAATAAAACTATGAAAGGGAAATGGCTGATGTACAGAATGAATATTTCACCCATGTGTTCACTGAGGAAGAAGTGAACCACATGCCTAGGGAAATGACAAGACAGAAGACAGTTCTGTATTAGATAGTATTGGCACAGAAGAGGAAGATGTGTTTTGGGTACTAGAGGCACTCAGGACTAATACCTCCCCAGGGCCTGATGGTATCTTTCCAATAGTACTCAGGGAAACATGAGATGTTATTTAAAAGCCATTGACACAACTCTCCCAACAGTCCCTTAAGACAGGGGTAGTGTCCAGGGACTGGAGAATTGCTAATGCTGTCCCTATCCATAAAAAGTTGAGAAAAATGAACCATTTAATCATAGACCCATAGGTCTGGCTTCTATTACATGTAGTGGAAATGATGATAGGAACTACACAAAAGGATTTCCTGTATGGAAGTAATATGCTGGGAAAAAGTCAGAATAGATTTAGAAAAGCAACAACAGTGATAGATAAGTATAGGGCATATGATATGCTGTATTTAGTATATCAGGAGGCTTTTGATAAAGGTCCCCATAAAACGTGATCAAGGAAATGCAAGTGTTTTCGACTGAGGAATGGTAATTAAATAGAACACAGGGAGAATGGATAAGAGATCAATGCTCAAATGGGGTGAGTGTAATTAGTGGTGTACCACAGGGATCTGTACTAGGACAACTGTGCTTCTAAATTTATTTAAATGATCTAGATCTCAGAATAATAAAGTAGTCAAGCAGATGATACCAAGTTTGGAGGATTAGCAAACACTAGACGCAGCAAACTCAGTTCGAAAAGATTTTTTGCTAAATGTCACAACTGGGCAAATACCTGGTAGATGACATTTAACACAAGTGTGGGGTTTTGGGTGCAGGTAGTAAAAATATAAACTAGAAATACAAAATAGGAAAAGCTAGAAGAAGCTGCTTATAAAAAAAAGTATTTGATGTTTATGTTGACACGTCATTTACATCTTCTAGACAATGTACGGAAGTGATTAAGGGAAACAAAAGGTTAGGACATATAGTTAAAAGAGTAGAATTTAAATCAAGTGATGTTATGTGATATTTGTATAATGTAAAAGTAAGGGCTCATTTGGGATATGATGTTGAAGTAGGTAGCAGCGTCAGCATGTGGAAGCTGCAAAGGAACAGGTAAAGGTTTATTCCATGCTGAAAGGAAAGAGAAAAGAGACGTTTCGGCTGTGAAGCCTTCTTCAGGTGCTTTCTTCAGGTGTCTTCTTCTTTTGAAGATATTGTATACAATTGTGGTCACTACTTCACACACAAGTTAGTGCTGTTCTGGAATCTGCCCAGAGAAGAGGGGAAATGATTCAAGTCTTCAAAAGCCATTCGTAGAAAGTCAACCCAGTGGATTTCTTCAGAATGGACAGTGAAACATAAACCAAATGGCCCAAGTGGAAACTATTTGGAAGAACATTTAACACTAACAGGAGGCATGTCTTTACCCAAAGAGTTGTGGGAGCAACTAGTATAACAGTAGTATAACAGGTCCGTGTCTCGTATTAGGATGGAGGCAACAGCGCTATAACATTGTGTCTTTAAATCTTATTTCTTATTCTTTCTTTTTCTTTCA